CGCCTGATGTGGGACTCGAACTCAAGAACTGTGAGATAATGCCCTGAGCTGAAGTCAGCTGCTTAACCGAGTGACTCACCCAGGTGCCCCTCTTTTTTTTTAAATGTGCATATATTTATTTTTGGGAGAGAGAAAGAAAGAGGAAGCAGGGAGAGGCAGAGAGGGGAACAGAGGATCTTAAGCAGGCTCTGTGGTGACAGCAGGTAGCCCAATGTCGGGCTTGAACTTACAAACTGCGAAATCATGACCTGAGACAAAGTCAGACACTTAACTGACTGAGCCACCCAGCTTCCTCTCAAAGGTCCTTTTCTACCCACTTGAAATCCCATCTCCTAAGTCAGACTGTCAAGAGTGTGTGCTCTGGAGCCAGAAAGTCCTAGATTTAAAACCTGGTTCCGTGCTTATCCAGAAAGTTCACCAAACTTTGAGACTGAGTATCATCACTGAAAAAGTAAGGATAATGATTTGTTAATTCTTACCTCACATAGGTATTAGATGACCTCAGTGTGCACATACGTTGTTTACCACTGCCTCAGCCACCAAGCACTGGCACTCTCTGAGCTCACACTACTCTCTGGGCTTAACTTAATCCACTACTAGGGCAATTAAAAAGAATGTCAAGATACAGATCATCAGTATATGGACCCATGACTTATGTTGATCTATGAAGACACTACATTTGCTGTAGAACTTCCATTTCCAGGAACAAATCCTACCTTCATCCTCCCCCGCAAACCTCAGGGGCACTGCCTGACTCAGAAGAGATAGTACACAGATGTTAGTTACCACTACCCACAACCTCTCCATCCTCATTCTCTGAAAATGCCCATTTTGAGACTCTACTCATCAGGTATGAACTCTTCCCACTTCACTCCATTATCCTAACTGTACCTGTTGTTCTCTTTCACCTTGGTGGTTTATGGGCATTTTGCTCCCCTGACCTTCCCATAAGACCACTTATAACTTTGACACCTAGCTCAAATGTAACTTACGCTAGTAAACCTTAGTCCCCCGCACGCTCTGGTACCCCCTTCTATCCCCCAAACCATATTGCAAGACCCCTAGGGGCAGATTCTGGCTTCATCCATGTCTGTAATCCTCCTCCCTAGTGTCTAGAATGTTTTATATGTAGTAGTTTTATATGTAGTAGACACTTAGTAAATATTTGTTGAATGGGTGAAATAATGAATCCATGATTGGTTTCTCTGCCAGTCTGGCTTTGACCTATAGTTGATAGTGGGAACTATCAGACAGACAACCAGTAGAGGTATCTATGAGTCGGGCCGGAATAGGGGCAGGACTGGAAATGTACATTTGGCAGGCATTCACTACAGTAGTATCTGAAGCCTTGGAGCTCACAAGGGGAAAAAAAGGGATGTGCTGAGAGAAAACAAAAGTTAACAATAGAACATTTCAGGGATAGAAGAAGGCACCGCAGTTAAGATTATTATTCAGATATAAATCACAGAAAGGAAAAGAAATCCAAAGGAATACACAGCCCCAGAAAAATAAGAGAGAATCCTGAGAAACACCTCTAGTGCATTAATGTTGCAGAAAGAAGAGGCTGGAGGCATAAAGGTCACTACTGTACGTGCTGGTTTGAAAATTCTCGGTGACCATCAGCCAGTAAGGTGTTAGAGGTAGAGGTAGAGGTAGGGCTGGGGGAGGAGAGGTATGAATGAGGGTAACAAAAAGCCTAAGACTATTCTTTCAAGAAGTCTGACAGGAGAGAGAAGAATCACAGTGCCAAGGGAGTCTGGAGGCAGCTGTGAACATAAAATAACAGAGAAAAAGATGGCTCAGCAGATAAAGCACTGCACCAATACACAAATGTTACCACTGCTACCACCTCACAACGGAATGTAGTAGCACAGGACGTAAGTACTCATATAATTCTGTTGCTCTCTCACTTGTGTGATCTTGAGAAAATCATTTTCCCCTCGCTTAGCTAACTCATCAGATTCTAAGAGTATGAGTAATATGTGGAAAGGAGTTATGGAAGAGTTTATTGTTGAAAGTAAGGTCTCAATGCTTCAATAAATGGGTTTGTCATTTTTCAGAATCCTTTCAGATTCCTTACAGATGTTTGTCATTTTTCAGTTTCCTTTCTCCGTGTGACAAAGGGAAACTGAAACTCCTCCGTATGTAACAGTGGTTACTCATTCCAACTCCAGAAAAGAGGAATAAGATAATGACAAGGGGGCAAAGAAAAGCAGGACAAAGTCAGAGTTACAGAGTCAAGGTAGTGACGGCAACCCCTTCAATTCCTCTCTACAGACTTTGCCCCTTTCCTAAACTGGGGGACATTAGTCAAGGGTTACCTCCCCCAGGTGGATGGAGAACTGCCAGGAACTCATATCAGAACTGAGTGTGCCTGCTGCTTCCGTCAATCAGATCTGCCTTGGCAGGGACACTATGCTTACCTCAAGGTGCCTGGTCAGTGAAAAGCTTGAGTAGATAGCACTGACCTCATTACTGTCTTGAAAAGTAAAATAAAATTTTGTACTGTGACAAAGTTTATTTATAACTCCTTGGTTATCTTACCCACCCACCCCCTTACCCCCAGCCCCTGAGGAAATGTTGCAAGCTCAGTGGTGATTTTCCACACTCGAACCATGTCATAGAGACTTTTCACTTGGAAAGGGCAGCTGCTCCAGAGTATTACCATAGCAAGCATCAGTGTAACATTATCTCAAAGCCACTGGTGAGTAGAACACAGTATCATACAGAAGGTATATTTGCAACAGGAGGTATATGGTGTAGTTCACAGGTGGTCTATTAAGACCATATATGCTACCAAACATATGCAGGGAGAAACTAGGCAGAAGTCTTTGATTAAAGCAGTTCACAGGGGCCTTCCTTCACAAAGTAGAATTTATTATTTCATTCAATGGTTAGATATGGTAAACAGGAATTTCAGTTTATAGTAAATTCAACTGTATAATGCAAAACTCATCTGCATTTATCTTTAGGATACATTGTGGGTTTTTTAAAATTCCCAATGTGATTGGCTTAGGGTAACATTAAAATTAATTTTCATTCCATGACCACAGCTGGACAAACTGTCCTCTCGTATTAACATAAGCTAATAAGTTAAAGAGAAACACACATGCAGATGTTGATTGTATTTTCAAAAACTAAACTTGTCCTTATTGATGGGATTCATATGCTCATCAGAAGAAAACCAGTACTAGTAAGAAAACACAGTAGCATTAAGATATACTGAGGCAGCATGATAAAAATCAAAGAAGAATGTGGGATTTTATGTGGAAGGTTCACCACTATTAACAAAAAAGTCAGTCTGTTCTACTGAAATCAAACAAAATCATTAGGGTAAGGTGAGAAGAAACAAAGAAACGAGATGATGATATAACAAACTAAATTTATGAGACATTCACTAATTCCTTTATAATCCTTACAAACATACAAATGAGCCAACAGCAGATGCTTATATGTGACGAAGGAGGCAGAGTGAACAGTAGGAGCCAAGAACTCTCTCTAGTACTAATCCAGTCACCTTTGTTAATTCAACAGTTATTTATTGAGTGCCTTCTAAGTGCCAGGCTCTGTTCTCTAGTCTGAGGATACAAAAATACACAAAACAGACAAAAATCCCTGCCTATCTAGAGCTTACCATATAGTGAAGAATTTGGCCAAGACATACTGAGGTGACTAAAAAGTTTGTACGGAGAAACCAAGATGAAAGGGACTGTGAATAAAAACTGAATACACACACACCGAATGCACACATATACATTCACACATATACATACAATGATATACAATGAAGACTGTTGATGATAGTGAAAATGAATATAAAAGCAGAGAACACATTCTCATAATTCTAAATTATTTTTGCTGAAATCAAACACCAGCAATCATTTTCCTTTGATGTGGCCTTGCTACTGCACAATTGTATGTATGAACCAAAAAAAAAAAAAAAATCTCAAGAGGATGACATGATGGGCTGGGATGTAACCACAATACACAACCAACAAATGTGGACCTACAGACTAGTTTCTACTGGATAAAAACTTAAAAAACATAACAGAATTAACTGACAAACTCTCCAATTCACCTCAGAATATATTCCAGAAATGGGAAAAAAATAAGTGATTACAGCAAAAGAGTTATTGCAATATGAAAACGCGGCTGTAAGTAAGTTTCGGCAGTTATCTCTGCATAGGGGTGGTTTCACACAGTCCAACGATTTGGTAAAATGTGATTCTGCCATTTCCCCTGTCAACTCGTACAGCATATATAGTGTACGTTTGCCATGTTACTAGGCGATTTCAACTCTAACAGATTAATGGAATCGGCAAACAGATTCCACTCTTTGAGGGCAGCACATTAAATAAATGTATAAAAAGCAAAGCAGACAAAAATACAGGCAGACACAATCCAAATACCGGAGTCAAACAAGAGAGAGGCAAGACTTGCAGCTGAAAAGTCCCAGGTCATCAGTTCTGTCCACTGGAAAAAAAAATTATCTAAGAACTTCCCCATCTAAAGGCTTAGAACATACACTCAGTCCCTCAAGTTTGAAATGACTGTCCACCAAGAAAGGAAAAGGAGTACTGATGGTTCCTCCTAGGCCCATTCAAGACACGGGGGGTTGAAGTCCCTCGCTTTAGACAGATGGGACCGGCAGGTACACCTGAGGCAAAGGAAGAGTAACAGGTCCGAAGCCCCGTAACTCCGATCAGGAAGCAAAACACAAAGTTTGAAAAGAGAGTGAACGGAGGAAGTCAGAGAAACCACAGCTAGTCCAATAAATAATTGTAACAGAAGGAAATAATGCGTTGGGGATCCCACAGAATCATCTCCACCATTCAAAAAGCCAGAGACTGTAGAAGCCACAAGGGCCGGGATCTTCGGGGTCCCGGAACTCAACACCCAGCCTGAAGCGGGTGAGGGGGAGCAGTTCCCGGGAACCCCCTCCCGCTCCTCTCCCCTCAACCCCGCCCATTGGGTCCGCCCCGTCCCGCCCGGCTACTCACCGGATTCGCTTCCCACATAACGGTGGCGAAATCGAGCGGAGAGAGCCTGGGGGAAGGGGCTAGCCGCGGGACCAGGGTGTTGGGTTTTATCCGAGGGTCCCCGGGAGCGAACGGATGGAGAGGCAACCTTTATATAGCCTTCCTTCTACCCCGCCCTGTCACAAGCCAGCGTCTTCGGACCACCGACCCTCCCGACTTCCGCCCGAAGCCGGCCAACCAGCGCTTGCCCCGCCCCGCCCCCGGAAGTTCGTTCTGCCCCAGTCCCTCCCTTCCGGGCCGGTGGGCGGGCCGCGGTGGGCGGGGCTTGGGTGTAAGCGGAGCGTAAGGGAATTTAAAGGGCTTCTCTTGCAACCACCTTTCCAGGGCTCAGTCTCCAAGGCAACTTCTTCCCCCGAGTGATCCTCAAGCTGTGGCCGGTTGTATTTCCAACGGTATTTATTGATCACTACGTAGTGAGTGCCAAGAATCAGACAGGCCTGAGAATTAATCCCAGAGTGGCCAATGGCTTTTGGGATAAACTTCACAGTCTCTCAATTTCCTCCTCTTCACAATGGAAATAGTAACAGTACCCACCTATGGGCGTAGTGAGATCATTTAAAACACCAACCACAAGCTCAATAAGCGACCGTTGTTTCCCAGACATCGCGCTAGGCTCTGGCGTGCGAGACTGCTCCATATGCAGCCCATGCCCGTGGAGCTTAGAATCTTAGGGAAGAAAGGAAAAAGTAATTTAGGTAAATAAAAATGTGCAGTATGGTTTGTAGGTAGTATGGCAAGTACAGGGTTCTGTGAGAGCAGCTTACCTAGGATAGAGTGCTTTCCTTCCTCCCACCTATATGGTTTAAACTAAGACCTCAAGGATGTACTATTGAACTCTTAAAGAGCTCTAAGAGATGGGGAGAATCTTCTGGGCAAAGAATAGAATCTATCCAAGGGAAAGGAAAAAGAAACAGTTTGTTAAATATCTTTCTGGGCTTTTATATAGCTCTACACATTAAAAAAAATTTTTTTTTTTTTATCAAGGAATACCTATAGATTTAGAACCTGGTTCTCTCACTTAATATCGTATGGATAGCCTTCACTCCCGTGCATTTAAATCTATTTCATCATTTTTAAGTGGACACATGGCATTCCAAGGTTTGTATGTATATCTTACACACACACATTTGAAATGACTCATTGCGATAAATATTTGAGTTGTTTTCAATTTTTGCTTTTCTAAAGAGTGCAGCAATAAACATTCTTGTACATTCGTCCATTTACTTCTTTGGATTAGTTGTTATAAATGGAATTGTTTAATAAGGGATTATTGAAATTTTGGTACACATTGCCAAACCATACTCGAGAACAGTGTGTAAATTTGAAATCTCTAATTTCTTCTTGTAAATGGATTGAGACAGGTATCTTCACCTTATTTTTTTCCACTTTTTACAAAATGGTTAACCGGTTGCCCCAGTATCATCTATTGAATAACCCATTTTTTCCCACTGCTCTGAAGGGGCATATTAATTACAAACTAAATGTGTGCAGGGAGGGCATATCTGTTTCTGAACATTTTTATCTATTTTACTAACTATCTGTTCATTTCTGTGCCATGTCCCAGTTATAATCATTGCTGCTTTGTAACATTTTTGCTATTTCATAAAGCAAGTCCTCTCTCTTCTTTTTCAAAAATTTCAAAATCATGAATCTTCCCATTCAGGAATACATCTCTTCATGTATTTAGGTATTTTATATTTTCAAATACATAAAAATTTTTTCACAAAGATTTGCACAATTTTTGTGAAGTTTGTTCCCAGATACTTTATAGTTTTTTTGGTGTTATTGCAAATGAGATATTTTTCATTACTGTAAGTTAGAAAAACTATTGATTTTTGTTTATTTCGTTTGTATCCCTACACACTGAAAATGTCTTATTAGTTCTAATAGTTTGCCAGCTGATCTCTGAATTTTTATGTCAACAATCATTTTACCTGCAAATAATGCATTTTTTTTCTCTCCCTATTGCATTGGCCAAAACCTCAGAAAACTTTTGAGGAAGACAGGACAAGATAATGAGCATTCAGTCTATAATGCAGTAAGATAAGCACTTGTTCCTAGTTGGTTCTTCATGTCCTTTGACTACAGTCATCTTAGGATACCTGGCTGGCTCAGTCAGTAAAGCATGCAAGTCTTGATCTTGGGATTGTGGTGTAGAGATTACTTAAAAATAAAATCTTAAGAAAACACTGTCATTTCTAAAGAAACTTCCTCTAATTCTCGTCAAGCTTTAATTAGGAAAGGAGGTTAAATTTTATGAACTGTCTCTTTTTTTTTTTCTTTTTTTTTTTTTTAATATTTTTATTTATTTCTAGGAGAGAGAGAGAGAGACAGCATGAGCAGGGGAGGGTCAGAGAGAGAGGGAGTCACAGACTGAAACAGGCTCCAGGCTCTGAGCTGGCAGTCAGCACAGAGCCCGACGCGGGGCTCGAACCCACGAACCGCGAGATCATGACCTAAGCGAAAGTCGGACGCTTAACCGACTAAGCCACCCAGGCGCCCCTGAACTGTCTCTTAAGCTCTATTACTATATTCACTTTTTACTCTGACTTATTAATATAATGAACTGTACTAGATTTCCTAATGTCCAGCCCACCCTTACATACTTGAAATAAACAATCCTTTAGGTGTGTTCATTACTCTTTGAATACACTGCTGGATTCTGTTATTTAGGATTAAAATTTATTTATAATTAATGAAATTGGCCCATTGTTACTGGTGTTTTTGTGTCCAACAAGTTTTGTTAAGTGAATAGTATTTAGCTCCTCTTCAAAGGTGGGGATTTTTATAAAGCAAGTTAGGACCAAGTCCTTCACTTTTTGTGGGGTTTGAAGTCTTCGAGTTGCCAGCGCTGGTGATCAAAGAATGGAATGGAAAGAACACAACTTGTTTGAATATATATCAGCTTTTAAAATATAAACTGCTATATCTCAAAGTAAAATGAAGGGAACATATTTCACAAATTGAAAATAACTGTGCAAATTTTAGTATTAATTTTTTTCCCGTCATTCTTGATTTATGACCACTGAGAGAGCAAGAGTGGGAAGGGACCTTAGTGATCATTTAGTCCCGGGGTCATAAACTCATAGCTAATGAGCTTTCACACACACAGACTATCTAAATGTTGAGGAGTAAGTGGCTGCCATTTTAAAACTAGGAAAACTAGGAAATTTCACATTAAATTCTGTGGCTCTCCAGCTTTCCTTAGACTCAGTATTCTCATATGCCAACAACTGGCCAAAGTCTTGCTGATCCCATCCCACTAGAATTGGCCTCTCAGGTTTACCTGAGTTGCCAAGTTACCAAAATGGCTCAAGTAGGTAATTTAAGGATGAGAGAGTTACCAATCTACAGCTTTGAAATTGTACTAATAATCCACCTCTTATTTGGCTGAGGAAATGCAATGGATCTGGGACTTTCTAAAATATCCTCATAGAAAACAACTTGAGTGTACTCTTCCATACTTCTCCCAAGGATGGGCCCAATCACTGGAGCTCAACCTCTCAGCCTTCAGTAGATTACTCTCTGCATGTAATGCCTGAGATGTTCCCTGTCACACAAGGGCTGGCACTGGGAATGTTTCCCGTTACATTACAGCTCTGGGCAAAGTGCCACAGCAGTAGAAACTATGCATACTGACCACGGTCACTGGCATTCTCAGGAAGACCAAACAAACAGAAGACAATTTACTTTATCTTTCGTGTTTTCTATGTGTGTTCTGGGTGGAAGTGTCTAGAGCCATGCTAACCCCAGCCCAAGGATACTGAGTGATTACAGCCCCGCTTCCACCTGGTTGAGTGTAGTAGATCTTTGAATGTCAAAAGAGGAGGGAGGAAATGCCTGAGGGGAAAGGAGAGAGAAGAAGAAAAGGAGCAGTGAAGACCTATCACTGGAAAGCATAAAAAAAAAAATCAGAAAACCATTAGTTGAGTGGCAAGGTAAGGTGGTGAAAATCAAATCTCACATAAAGACAGTAGTAGAGGGAGAAAAGAGAACCAATTAGTGAGATGCAAGATATAGCATCACTTATAATTTTAATATAATTTTCATAATTGTTTTTATTTTTAAATCTTCATTTACAGCCAGAAAGAGGAGAGCACTCGAAATGCACGTGGACGACAAGGCTGGATTTGACAAAAAGGAGGAGCCGGAGACCGGAAGAAGGCGCAAAAGGAGAGCCAAGGGGCCACAAGAGGGAACCCAGAGTAAGGGAGAAAAAGCAGCATTTGTGCCCATCAGCCTTGAACATAAAGACCCAGGCTCAGCCTGAAAAAGAGCCAACAATGAGGCAGCCCCAGAATCAGCCCTTCTGCTGAAGTCTGATGTGTTAACAACCCCGGCAGGAATTAAGAGGTGAAATAAGCAGATGAAACGTTTGCTGAAGCTGAGATAAGCATTCCTGGGAAGGAATTTTTCAAAAAATCAAAATGAATCCCGTAAATCTTCCTAATTAGGAAACATGACCAGAAATTAAATTCAACTGAAAAAAAAATGAAGTGCTAAATAACTCCCCCCACTAAGTGGCAAGGCTCTATTGAAAATACCACTGATTATTAGTTTTAGCTGCTCGGGGAAATTATCTGGGCACAATGCTAGGCATCAACATGCAGCTCACAGCAGCAGTCAAAAGCAGCAGCTGAGATGTGTGGCCATCCTAATTAGAGGATGGAGATTCTGAAAGGACTCTGGGGCTGTGACATTCCTGGCTGGGGCTCTCCTTCCAGGAATGCCACATTAGGGTTTTGGTCATCACATTGTCAAGAAGAACTTGATAGGGCTGATCTGGAAAGGGACAACAGAAATGACTTAGAAAAGAGTGTGAGAAGCTTTGAGGTTAAAAGCAGAAAGCAGGAAAACACTTCCATGAGAAATATTATTAAAAATTAGGAGACAGGGAGGCAAGAAAAAGCCTTAGGTGATAGAAAGAGCAGCCAGACGGTGTCCTGCCCGCATTAAGTCATTCCAGGCATGTGGGGCTTTCTCTTGTTCCTAATGAGCATGGCCTGGGAGGTCAAAAAACTAGAACAAATTATCTAATATGAATTACTCTTCAGTTCTTCGTTCAACAAATATTTACCAACCACCCTCCATGTTCCAGGCACTGTCTCTAGCCTTTTAAGATATATCAGTGAACAAATAAGAGAAAAATCCCTGTCCCTGTGGAATCTGCATGCTAAGGGGGGCCAGGCAAGGCTTGGGCTGGGTGTGGGAGGAAACTGATAATATATTGTAATAAGTAAGTACATTGTGTAGTATTTTACAGGGTGATGACTACAGAAAGAAGAAGAAAAAAACAAGGTAAGGGATATTGAGAGTAATCAGAATGGTCCTCATTGAGAAGGTAACATTTGAGGAAAAGCCTGGAAGGAGTAAGGGAGCCAAATGTGACGAATATCTGGGCAAAACGTATTCCATACAGAGGGAACAGTTGGTGGAAATTTCCTAAGGAGTGTGAGTGTGAGTGTGTCTGAGTGTGTGTGTTTGGAAAGTGGGGAGCAGATAAGATGTGCAGATTGAACTGGACCTGGTATAACAATTAGCAAATACTTACATGGCACAAAGTATGTGTCTGACCCTGTGATAAGCTCTTTGTATATATTTACAAATATAATTATCACACAACAACCCTATAAAGTAGGTGCCCTTATTACCCCCTTTGACATGTAAGAGTAGTGAGCCTCAGGGAGATTAATGACCTTCGCCCAAGACCAAAGATTCAAACCTAGGTGCCTGGCTTAAGAGCCTGTGCCCCTAATTACTACTCTATGCCACTTTTCAATGTCGTTTCAACCCATCTACTTCTGACACCAGACCTGATTACCCAGTTGCAATTGGAATTCAAGTACTCTCCCAGGATAAATTTATGTTCTTCTTTATTAAAAAAAAAAAAAAAAAAAGTAGTGTTACTTGTTGCTTTACTGCCTACATCCCTTTCCCTGACCCTTGGCATCCTTCCTCTACCAACTTGAGGACTTTCTGCAAGTTCACCGTGAAGTCCGTTGCTTTCGTCCAGCAAATCAAATAAACATCTGTGGATAGAGCTTTGGTTCAGTGTGGGAGGGGGAGTTGGTGAGCAATAGAGGGGTGCTTCTATGGATTACTAATGCCCTATAGATCACTAGAAGGGAGGACAGAGCATACACTGCATTTAAAAACTAGATATTTATTGTCTTTCCTTCCACTCTAAAAGTCACCGTGTGGAGGAAGTGTGTTTGTAACACACTGATCACTGGCTGTTCTCATACTTTCTTCCCATTTTCTCAAGATATAGCACCTTTATACTAAAAACCATTGAATTATGCACTTTAAATAGAAGAATTATGTGATTTGTGAATTACAGCTCAAAAAAAAGCTGTTACAACAATTCATTTTGTGAAAATACAGGATCGTGGCTTTCACATCCATGGTTTAGCCTCCTCTGTCCTCCTTCACGTAGCTTTAGGGAGCCCAGAACCACACTCAGAAAGATGTCCACCAATCCTAAACCCCAAGCACTCCACCCAAAGTTACAACTTTGTTTTGACTCCCCTGCTTACAGCATTACGCCAAGGAAATGACTCTTTCCTATTATACCTTTGCTACCTTTTCCTTATTAGAAAACAGTAATTCTAACGTTTGTATCTTGAAACAAACACGTATATATTATGCAGTAGAAGGTAATATTCGCATACATTAGAAGACAATACTTACTGTTTGAAGCAGTTTCTTGCTTGTGGCTGTTTCCTGCTAAGGATGGGGAGGCATGTGTTCCCTGCCATCCTGGGAGAGAAGCTTGAGATGACATGTTAAAGTCTAGAACAGTCAGGAGACTCAGAGGCTGATCCAAACTCTGGTCCTAACTAGCTGGGTTATAATGCACAAGTCACATCCCGATTAGGGGGCCTCAATTTCACATCTAAAAAAATGAGATAATTGGACCAGGTGATCTGCAATGTTGCCGCCAGATCTCACAGTCCATGATTTGGTGTCATAATGAGACAAATCAGATGCTGGGCTAAGGTGTATCAGTGCCACGATGCTCAGACATCAGGAAGCAAAAGATAAACCCCTTGCCTTTGAGGAACTTTTAATCTACTGGAGGAAACGAAAAAGAGAGTTACATGTAAGACTTGTTAAAGATATAAAGTAAATACACAAACCATCCAAAGAATGCAAAGGACAGGAAGGAGCTGAGAAGGACAATCAGTTCTCCTGTCTAGATCATCTTGCTTTGACTCAACTGTGCAACTAAAGAATCAAGGAGGCTCTTACTATGTCAAACTATGGCCCTCTAGGATAGGTACCCCTGACACAAAGGCACTCCTTATAGACCTTGTGGATGGACTCAAATCACAGAATAAGAAACTCTTAGAGGGACATCTGGGTGGCTTAGTCGGTTAAGTGTCTGACTTTCACTTAGGTCATGATCTCGCGGTTCGTGGGTTCGAGCCCCGCGTCGGGCTCTGTGCTGACTGCCAGCTCGGAGCCTGGAGCCTATTTCAGAGTCTGTGTCTCCCCTCTCTCTCTGACCCTCCCCTGCTCACGCTGTCTCTCTCTCTCTCCTAGAAATAAATAAAAAAAATATTAAAAAAAAAAAAGAAACTCTTAGAGTAGAAAAGGAACCCTAGCAAACATGTAATCCAAATCCCTCCGTCTACATTTAGCATTTGTAGATGATGCTTCTCTCATGTTTACATTCTTATTTGATAGGATACTCTTAACATTGTCCATGATCCTGAATAATCCTAAAACTGGAATAGGAATGCCTTTAATATCCTTCCCTCCAAAGTCCAGTGGGTTAAATGTGGAATGGTTTTAAGACAAGGCTCAGCATTGCTATAGAGTTGAACAAGATTTGCCTAGGAACCACTTCTCAAAAATCATTGCCTTGAAGAAAGTCAAGTTCCTCCCCTCTATAGAAGGGCACTTGTGCATTTTCCTATCTCATGCTTTCACTCCAGATCCATTCCCACTCCCTGAGGCTATTCTAAGCATTTCCGCAGGTCTCGAGTCACATGCCTTTGCCTGTCCTCACTAGCCATGAGTTATAAAAAAAAAAAAAAAAAAAAAAAAGAAACTAAAAAAAAAAAGGAAAAAATCAGATCTCTACCATTCAATTCCTTGATTTTCATCTTTCCTGGGAGGATCTCTTTCAGCCTAGGATCTCCTGGGTGAATACTTACTCTGGGACTAGACTAAAAATCACTATCTCTGGGCAAGATCGTGGGGAAGGCCTGCCTGGATGATACGATGATACAAGCCTGTTAAATATTTGGCCCCTGAGGTTTCTTCCACTCCAAATATTTTGGGATGCAGAAAGGAATGGTGGTCCCTCACAGACTGTCTGAAACCGGGTTTTTACTCCCTGACTGAAAGTGTGCTCATCTCATCACTAGATGGCGCTGAAACACAGGCAAGAATGGCTCTGATTTAAAAAAAAAAAAAAAGGCGAGCACAAACTTTCTAATAAGCCAGAGAATTCCTTTGTTTCTGGGTGGGCAAGATCAGCTTTTGTCAAGCACATTTAAGAATAGCTGTCTAGAGTAGCAGTAATCTAATTGTGCTGCTTTACCCCAAATCAACCAAATGGTCAAGACCAAATGAAAGTGGTATAATGTGTATTTAGGAGTAAAGGCATTTATAAAAAAAAACAATAGATCTCTTAACTACATAGTGTCAAAAAGAGATAGGTGGTCAAGAGGCTCAACTGTACTATAATTAAAAGCGAGAAGTTTTACATTCTTGTTCTGATATGGATGGGCCTTTGCCAGTTAAACAATGCTGATATAAATTCAGGTAGCTACAAATTCAATTAGGAATTAAAGTAGAAACTTTCCTGTTTCCCAACTAACCATATTGCTTGAACATATTGGGATCTGTTTCAGGGTTGGCTGATGGACCATTTGATAAGTTATTCACTATTTGAACTATGACCGCTAACCAAATTCTGATAAGATAATATCTAAGTGGAGTCTTAGAATTTTTGACTTGGAAGGGAGCTTACATGGCCTCTGTCTTCTTCCCAGCTCCCACACTAATCTCTTCCACATTAACAAGGGCTCGGTCTATCTGTTTAAACTCTTATAGTAATGGCAAACTGGCCACTCTGAGAAACTGCCCATTATATTTCGAGAGAATTCCAACAGAAAGTCCTTTAGGTTAAGCCAAAGCATGGCTCTTTATAACTTCTACCTGTAGATCTCCATTCTTCTTTTTAAAGGAATTCCAAGCATTTTTTTCATATGACTTGTTTTTAAATATGTGATGCTTTAGGGGCACCTGAGTGGCTCAGTCATTTAAGTGACCAACCCTTGATTTTGGCTCATGTCATGATCTCATGATTTTTAAGTTCAAGCCCTGAATCGGACTCTGTGCTCATGCGTAGGGCCTGCTTGGGATTCTCTTCCCCTCTTTCTCTGCCTCTCCCCTGCTTGCTCTCTGTTTCTCTCTCTCTCTCTCAAAATAAAGAAAAAACATTTAAAATGTTTTTTAAAATATGTGGTGGTTTAGGCCTTCTCAGACTAAAATAGCATCCCTTTCTTCAACCATGTTTCATACAACATGGTTTCTGGATTGATTTTGGTTGCCTTTTTCTGAAATATCTTAAAACATGTTCTGATCACATAGCCAGCAGGCCCTTTAGCTGCCTTGATTCAAACACTGTGTTTCTATGAAGAGGACCCACGTTTGGTGAACTCTCTTCACTGTTTTCTTTTTGGAGCCTGTGGCCAGCTCCTAGGTCACTCACATGGACGTGATACGTCAGACCAGCCCAATCCTTGTATATGAAATTTATTTTTTAAATTATAATGCAGGTATTCAGCTCTGTGATGTGGTATGGATTTCAGCTCCTGGCTGTGGTCTGTCAAAATTACATAGATTCATTTAATTCAGACTCCGGTGCCAAACATAATGGGATTCAAAATTTTGTTCCTCTGCTCATGAACCGTGTCATCTTGGGCTAGTGACTTGGTCACTGAAAACATCAGTTTCTTCATCTCTGAAATGGAGATCTAGGGGCGCCTGGGTGGCTTAGTCGGTTAAACGTCCAACTTTCACTTAGGTCATGATCTCGCGGTTCATGGGTTCAAGCCCCGCGTGGGGCTCTGTGCTGACTGCCAGCTCAGAGCCTGGAGCCTGTTTCAGAGTCTGTGTCTCCCTCTCTCTCTGACCCTCCCCTGCTCACGCTGTCTCTCTCTCTCCTAGAAATAAATAAAAGTATTTAAAAAAATAAAAAAATAAAAATAAATTTAAAAAATAAGAAATAAAATGGAGATCTAATTTTACCACCTGCCTCCGAGAGTGGTACAATTTAAATGTGATAATTTTGTGGAAAAAGTATATTTAACACAGTTCATGCAACATAGCAAGTGTTCAGTAAATGTTTGCTATTATTATTATTATTATTATTACTCAGTCATCCTTCTTGTTAGCTATCCCTCCTTGTTCATGTCATATGAAAATCTGATAAGCATCTCCTCTAAGACACAGACAAAAATCCTGTCAGGGACATGTAAAAGAGAGACATCCAGGGCTCGCCGCCATGGTTTCCCTTCAGGCTGACATATGTACTAATCAGCAGTCTTTAGGTATAATTCTTACACCAGCCGTGGTTGTGCCCATTGGCTATCAGCCAGGTCATGTCTCATCCACAAGGTGATTATGATAGATTTCGTCAGATGCCATGCTGAAAGCAAGTATGGTTTTGATGCCTCTTCTTTCTGCCAGTCTAATATCCCTATCCAAAAAGGAATAAATGAAGACATGTTTTGTTTTCTGAGATTTCGGGTTGGCTCTGAGTGATCTCTGCTTTTCTAAAGACTTACAAAGAGTCTACTTAATAATCTGTTCAGTTGATGGGTTAAAGTGGGGAAATTGTGGGTTATTTCCCCCTTCGTTTCTATTATTATAATAATGTTTGTGGAGTAAATAGCTTTTTAAAATTCTGTTCTAGAATTCTGCCAGGGATAATTGTCAAGCTGACTGGCTTATAGTTTTTATAATATGCCCCTTTCCCCCTTTTTGAGAATCGGGACAACTTTGTTCTTCTCTTGTCTGTTAACAGTTCTCCTATTCTCCATGCTTTTTCAAAGATTATTGACAATGGTTCTGGGAGTTCTTTGAGCAACCTGGGATGTGATTTGTCTAAGTCTGGAGATTTGAATTTATTAAGGGGGGTGAAAAGAACACCACACTAGTTTCTAGCTCTGGCTTTGCCCTTCACTAGCTGAGTGAGCGTGGGTAGGTTTTGATTTTATTTCAGCTGAAACGTCCCCATCTGTGAAATAGGGCATTTGGTCCAGATGATGTTGAAGGGCCCTTCAAGGTCTGATGGTCTCTGTTCTATGTCTCAAGTAATCTAACATTTTCTTACTAGCTTTTCTCATTTATCTTGGCTTTCAATTTCCTCTCAGTAAAAATTGTTCCACCCCTTATTTTTTTAATTTGGAAGATATATTTTGGTTTAGAATCCAAAGTTTTTAGTGTCACGCTCAGAGTCCGACATATCTGGCCCCAGCGTTTCATTCTGGCTGTGTCCCCTCCACCCAGGTGCAAGCCTGCTCTCCATTTGGATGAGCGATACCGTCTTCCAGGTGCACTAGCCCTTCCATCCTTTTCCAAGGCCACTTCCCAAAGGGGAAAAGTGATCTGTGATCCCCAGCCACCTCTTTCAGCGGGCTTTCACCGGCCCTTTAAGTTACCAGTTCTCCTAAGCAGTGTTTCCTAACCACCCCCAGGCACAATGCTCTCCTCTCTCTAAATCTCTGATGCATTCAGTGCAGTTGGTCTGCCACTTAACCACGATAAT